ATTTCAGATTTTTGGTGGAATATGAAAGTAAATTTATATTTCAATGTGGTGGATCCCGCGGTGTTCGTGAAGCCTGATTATTTAGCAAATAATTCTTTATTTGCAACACAGTTTTTTATGTACCAAGAATACAATATAACTTAGTTCTTAAATGTTAAATATGTGCGAGTCCAATGTACTGAGGTTCAAAGTTCGTGTAATCGTTCGTACAAGAGTTCAGAGTTCTATTTCACCAGTTCGTCTGTCACTGTTCAGTCCTTTTATATGTTCTTATCCGTCACACTTCATATCCAAGAATGAAATATAAATCACAGAGCATTAAGTCTAATTTGGAAAATATATCGATTTTGAAAATTTCAAGTACTACATTCAAACTCAAACACAATATCTAAATGCGAAGCGACAGTACAATACGATCAGTGTAATCACAACGCTAAAAACTATTCACAAAACTTCTGAACTTCTTCCTCTAAGAAACCATCGGTAAACGTGGTTTGAAACATCTTGTCGTAAAACAAAAATACAAGACCATTCGGTTTATGTAAGAATCACATCACGTAGAATAATCCTCGTAACAAAATGCTTGTATTTATATTTACAGAATTCACAGAGCCATCCATTATTCGTAAGGACACGAACAAACACGAAGAAGCCTGCAATATTATTAATCAACTTCCTGCTTAACTATCCTGCAATAAAACCACCTCGCCTGAAATTATGCATCACTGAGGAATCTCCAACTACCTAAACCCCATCCTTTCTTCGCAAGTTCCGCCAAGCTTTCAGCCCTTTTCAACGGACGCTCCCTTAGCCAGTGTTTAAGATAGTCTAAATTCGAGCAACTCCTGGAAATAATCACAACCAGTATTCTTCTCGTTCAACGATCACCAGCCACCAGATCGCGAAGAATCATCAAACCGCTGTAAAACACAACCCTAGTGATCGCTAGAAAGAGGAATCCGAGAAATTTCAGTAGAAGCATCCAAAAGTCATGTGGAAAATGTATGGACACCTACCCACCACAAGAAATCAAAAAATTAAGTAAAAACATTGTCGCCGTCGCGTTCTCCTTTGATTATTCAAAATATTCGCGCTCACGACTGTTACTATTTCGTAGGAACAGCAGAGGCCTTGTTCTGTATTTTAAAATAAATCTTCACTTTGAGCTGTTGAGGCGCGAGCCAATGCGACGCGCTTAGTGGATGCCGGATATAACCGGCGATAGCCAGTGTGAAGCATTTCGTGGATGCCGGATATAACCGGCGCTAGTTGCGAAAGGGTTAAATCTTACAACGTTGACCCGTTGTTGCTCCCTTCTCCCTGTTCACATCCTACAGAAATATGAACACTCATTTTTATCAAAATTGGATTTATACCACTTTCAAAAACAGCGGCTCGAATGTTGTATAAAAGCTTTTCTTGAAAGTGACAGAAGTCCATTTGTAGCTAGGAAAACCTTGCTCTTCTTTATAAATATTAATAATTATTATCGCATGATAAAATTTTAGAAATATTAGACGAAAATATTTTTTAATCAATTCAAACGCAAACCTTTAAATATCTGAAGAGAAGAATAAATGAATATGTTAAGGATATGTTAAGTAACTGATGGTAACGTGGAGAGAAAATGTAAAAGACTGCTGAGGAAGCATGAAGAATTTGAGCTAATTATTACTGACCTAATTAGAATGCAATTCAGAGATTACCTAATGAGGTGATTAACATGATCGACTGATAAGGGAAGTTCTGTAACTGAAATATTGAAAAAAATATGAAATTTTCTAGAAATGTAATCCAATTATCGCCAATAATTAAACCATTTTCTGTTTCGGCAATGAAACGGTTCTAGGGGTGAAAACATCCCCTCGGAAAAATTGTCGATGGTGACAAAGAAGGAAAACATTATTTCTTTCAAAATTTACCATTTTCTCTTTTCGTCCGTTGAAAGATAGGCAAAAATAAAAAGGAAATTATACAATTCTATTAAAAAGATCTACAAAACACATGCTGCACTCAATCCGTAATTCCCTCTAAACCTTAAGCTTGCCGCTACGCGTTCAGGTGAAGAAAGGGTTAAATTTGAAGATGTCAAGTGGGAGTGAAGTCTTACAAAATCGTACTTTTAAAGAGTGTTACTGAAAGGGATCTCCCATCTCTTCCAAAAACAATAAGATCGAGAGCTGAAAAA